AAACCCTCTGTTTCATTAACCCAAATGTCCACTTAACCCTTTTGTCACTTTCTCAGAACTTCAACCTCCAAGCAATGATCATTGACTTCTTCTGCACCGCCGTATTAGACGTCACCACCGATTTCGCCTTCCCGGTTTACTACTTTTTCACCTCCGGAGCCTCCTGTCTCGCCTCTTCCTTCTATCTCCCGACCCTCCACGAAACAACCGTCGGCAAAAACCTAAAAGACGTTGAAACACTCCATATCCCCGGCGTTCCTCCGATCAAAGGCTCCGACATGCCTACGCTTGTGCTCGAACGTGACAATGAGGTCTACAATGCTTTTATAATGTTCTGTAAACAACTCACCAAGTCTTCAGGGATCGTCGTCAACACGTTTGATGCTCTAGAGAACAGAGCCATCAATGCAATAACAGAGGAGCTCTGTTTTCGTAATATTTATCCAACTGGACCGCTCATTTTTCAAGGAAGAACCGGAGATAACAACGCAGATTCTTGTCTGAGCTGGCTCGATTTGCAACCGGAACAAAGTGTTGTGTTCCTCTGTTTCGGGAGCTCGGGTTTCTTCTCCGAGGAACAGCTGAAAGAGATTGCTCTTGGTTTAGAGAAGAGTGAACAGAGGTTCTTGTGGGTGATCCGTAATCCACCGGAGTTACCAAACCAAACAGAACCGGACTTAAAATCTCTCTTACTGGAAGGATTCTTAAATCGAACCGGAAATAGAGGAATGGTCGTCAAATCATGGGCTCCGCAAGTTCCGGTTCTAAATCACAAAGCAATCGGCGGATTCGTCACTCATTGTGGTTGGAATTCCATTCTTGAAGCCATTTGTGCCGGTAAACTATAATGCATAAACACATTATACATAACACATTTCAATTACCAACTATATACATAACACATTTTAGCTACGCGAATATACATAACATATTTCAATTGCAACTACATATACCATAATAGGAGTACCGATGGTGGCGTGGCCGTTATATGCTGAGCAGAGGTTTAACCGAGTGGTAATAGTGGAGGAGATCAAGATTGCGATTCCGATGAATGAATCGGAGACAGGTTTCATGAGCTCGACGGAAGTGGAGAAACTAGTCCGCGAGGTCATGCTTGAAGGTCCGGTTAGGGAGAAAACCAAGGCAATGAAGATCGCGCAGCAGAATCAGCCTTGACCGAAACCGGTTCGTCTCATGCCGCGTTGACTGATTTACTTCAGTCGTGGAGCCCAAAACGATCTTAGAAATTAATGAGAAGTCTTGTAGCAATTTATGGTTAGAAATCGTCATAAATATATTTTGTTCATTTGGTTAAGATTTGAGATATTTAAGACAAAAACTGATTGATACGTGTCAAAGATCTGATAAAATTAACGGCTAAGATTGATTGTCTAAATGGGACGGAATCTTCTACTGACCACTAGGGGTGGGCACAAGACGGGTACCCTGAAAAATGGAAGTGTTATTACGAAAAAGAAAAAAAATCTTTTAATAGACAATATATATAATTCATAAAATATAATATTTTAAACTTTAATATTAAAAACTTGTAATTCATCATCTCCAAAATTATCGATGACAATTCAAAAACACAAAAGATTGACGTTACGAGTATTTATACTATACTATATATTATACAATTTATTTTATAACTAAGTTTATCAAATATTAGTGATATAGAATGTGGGTATATACGGGTCGGGTAGCAAATAGAGTACGAGGACGGGTAACGAGACGGGTAGTGAAAAAAAAAATGATACCCTTTATCCGACCCTTACCCGATCTTTACCCGTGGATATTAAAATTATAGTATCTTTTACCCGACTCGAGAGTTACGGGTACCCTATTTTTTGAGATGGGTACGAACTGGATAACGGATAAAAGACGGGTAATAGGTATATGTGCCCAGCCCTGCTAGATACACATCTGTGATTTAATAATCCGATTCCGATTATTATAAATAAAAGCTTTAGTTACCTAAATTAAATATTATTTTAACGCGTAGATTTATTTATACAACGTTACATTTTCCCTTTTTTAGACGAAAACAAGAATTG